CACAATCACACAGGGGCTCAGTCAGCTCCCCCAGGCCAAGAGCACAATCACACTGTTGGATTGGGCAACGCTCACTGTGTCTGAGGAGGGCTAAGCCAAGAAATGTTGTGTAATGTAATGTTGTGTAATGTGGTCAGGGTTGCCAAAAGAAAATATCTGGGTTTCCTAGGCCTGTATAAAACTGGGTTTCCTAAGACTATAAAATCTAGGTTTCCTAAGACAGTAAACATCTGAGTTTGCTGAGCCTGTAAATACTTGTGATTCCCAAAACACATGATTCAATACCCTCATTGAAGTTCGTACTTGTACACCTGGAAACAAGCCAGGGCCTGAGTGAAGCTCAGGGATTCTGGAACCGGAATTCTGTCGCTATGTGTCCCAGGCCCTGGCAGGTCAAAAAACCTAAACACATCTTGGATACATTGAAACAGCAGGCTAAAAATGGTGCAAAACGCCTAGAAACCCCGTCTCTGAATCAGTTGTTTGGCAGAGTGGGGCAGCTCTTCTACTGTGCTCTGGAGTTTTGTTTGATCTAAGCTGTTGCCAATCAGTGAGCTAATAGGCAATGTTAGCTTTGGTGTTCAGGTTTTTAGGGTCAATTTCCATCCTAGATCCCTCTAAATCCTGCTGGGCACCGGTTCTCCAGGAAAAGGGGTGCCCCCCCCCTTTGACGGAGCCATTCACAGCAAGACCGTGAATAGTGAGACAGTTCAGTCTCTCTCCCAAAGGAAGTACCTCTCTTTTCTTCCTCCTCTTCACTTCCACTTCCCTCCTCACGTCCTCCGGCCTCCTCGGACTCCCCTTGCTCCCTCTCCTCTCCCGCAGGAGTGCGGCCAGCCTCTCCAGGAGCTCCTCCGCCTCTCCCTCTCCACCTCCCTCCCCCTCCTGCTCCAGCAAGGCCTGCAGAGCCCTGGCCTGCTGCCTCAGCCTGCCTCGCAGGGCGTCGACCTCCCTGGCCAGGGTCTCGCACCGCCTCCCTCTCAGACTCAGCTCCCGTCTCAGCTGGGCGGCCTCCCTGCTCTCCTCCTGCCTGGGCCTCAAGTCCCGGTCTGTGGCATTCTCCTCTGCGACCTCCCCAGGCAGCGGCTCAACTGCGACACTGGGGATTCCCTTTGAAGAGGCCCGAGAATGAATATCTATTCTTAACATAATCATTTGACATTTCATTTCATTTGCATCACCCTATCCTATACTATTCAAACACTGACATGTTGTTGTGCAGCACTTTGTATAGTGTGATTTATACAAGTTTAAGAATATGCACCATGATTATCAAGAGTCAAGACACTAAAATGGAAATGGACTGGACACACAGAAAAGAAAGTTTGTTAAACCAAGGAAATAACATACTGAATCAAGGGAGCAAGACCAATTAAAATGAAGACATTCTAAAGGAAGGCAAGAGGACATCACTGAGTCTGCAGAAGCCAATTGGACAAGAAAGGCCAGATCAGTCAGAAGAGTATTAGGGAGTCCTGTGTGCACTTGTTTATTCCTATTATGCTGAAGATGATGAATTGCTCTATGACATTGCTCAAGGAGTCACCTCTTCATCATCACTGCCTTACCCTTGTGTTCTCTGCATTGTTTGCTGTCACCTCTTCTGGTCCTGGAAGGACAAAGGACAGCGTATTGGAGCAGACAACACAATAGCGAACAGGAAAAGGTTACAAATACAAACATTTGGTACATCTAGCTCATTTGGCAGGACTGGCCAGTTTGCTCCAGACCCCCACCACCCTTTGTGTAAAGACACACCTCCTGTTTCCAGGTTTAAACCCACTGTTTCCCTGTTGGCCCTAAAGTCATCCTCAGGGCTGCGGTACAGTATTTGTCAATACCTTTCATTTTTTAGTGCTATTTAATATAAAAAGATCAACTGAGTTCGTTCCAGTAGAGACCAGTGGATCAATAGGAAGTGATAAGCAGAGAGGTGGGTAACTTGCACTCAGTAATTTGTTACCTGCAGGCACCTGGTGCGGAGCACTCAGCAGACCAGAGATCTCGTGGTTCTCAGCCTCCCTGGCATAGTGGACAGCATCTCTACCCAGCTGGTCTAGGGGTGTGGGGTCAGCACCCAACTTCAGCAGCCCGGCCACTGTGTCCAAACACCCTGCACCTGCTGCCAGCATCAGTGGGGTCCTGTAAAGAGGACCATTGTGTGACTGGGACACACAAGCGTGCCCACGTACACCCCCCCTTGGACAGCTCCTGCGTAGACACAACCCTACACAAGACTGACACAGTAGGGTTTGGTGGTACATGTGCCTCACTGCCCTCCATAGCATTTCTACCATGGCAATCTGCATCAGACACGCACTCTGACATTGACACACACCCACAGCTAGACATCAGACAAGCGCTCGCTGAAACTTGCGTGACACACTCACCCACAACTATCGTCTTTGAGGTCAGTTCTCATTACTATCTTCCCGACAAGATCTAAAGATCCAACATCTAAGATCTAACAAGACCTTAAAAGAGACATAGGCAACTTTTTTGTCTGCTTCTATACTTATTTTGCAGATTTAAGCCTTACAACGCTAAGATATTTGCTGTACATCCTAAACACACAATCTGTACATTGAGAAGGCGGGAATATTCCTTAAAGTGTGGGTTCCACTGGACAGACGTCTGCTTCACTACTACTAATGACAAACTGATGCACTGCTGCCTCGCAGCTCCAGGGTCCTGGGTTTGATTCTGGCCTGGGAACGCCTGTCTGTGTGGAGCTTGCATGTTCTCGACTCAAGTGCACAAGCTTACTCTAGATGCACATCCAAAAGAGCAGCTGAGGTTGGGGACCCTTTCCTCCAGGTGCTCCGGTTTCCTCCCAGAGTCCAAAGACATGCTGATGGATTAATTGGCTTCTGGGAAAACTGGTCCTGGTGTGAGTATGTCTGTGTGTGAGTCTGGTCTGTGTGTGCCCTGTGATGGCCTGGCACCCTGTCCAGGGTGTACCCTGCATTGCACCCAATGCCTGCCAACTCCAACTCCCCTATGACTCTCAATAGGAAGAAGATTATCAAGATTGCCAGGATTGATCTAATTGCACGGTCCAATGACAAGCTGGTAGGTTAATTGGCTTCTGGGAAAAATGGCCCTGGTGTGAGTGTGTGTCTGTGTGCCCTTTGATGGACTAGCGTCCTGTCCAGGGTGTACCCTGCCTTGAGCCCGTTGCTTGCCCTGATAGTCTCCAGCCCTTCCCCCACCCACCCCCGCCCAGATTTGGATAAAGGGGTTAGAAAATGGGTGGAGGGATGTGCCATCCAGGGTGGCATTTCTGGCCAGCAGGAGTCACTGCTTCCCCACAGGTGTGGCCCTACCTGCCCCGCCCGTCGGCAGCATTCAAGCGCGCCCCTCTGCGTGCCAGCTCCTCACACACTGCCCGCCGCCTGTGCGCGGCCGCCAGCATCAGCGCGGTGCTCCCCTCCTGCAACAGACACAGAGAGGGAGTAATTAACGCCACCCCTCATCTCACCAGCAAGGCAAGGCCCAGTGGCGGCCTGCGTTGGCACCTGAGCTCATTCAGGGTTTTCCAGTGTGCCAAAATAATAATAACAATAATAATAATTGCTTACACTTATATAGCACTTTTCTGGACACTCCACTCAAAGCACTTTACAGGTAATGGGGATCCCCTCCGCCACCACCAGTGTGCAGCCCCACCTGAATGATGCAACGGCAGCCATAGTGCGCCAGAACGCTCCCCACACACCAGCTCTCAGTGGAGAGGAGAGCACAGTAATGATGCCGATTCATAGAGGGGGATTATTAGGAGGCCATGATTGGTAATGGCCAATGGGAAATTTGGCCAGGACGTCTGGGCCATGAGGACCAGACATCCGCAACAGATTCCAGGTCCGCCCGTGGCATTCCCAAGCTTTCCCAGGGCAGCCGGGAGCTCGTGTCCTGCTGGTGCATCCTGGGATGGCCCAGTGGGGCTCCAGCAGAAGCCTCCAGGGAGGGGCTTTCCTTATGCCAGGTGCCCGAGCCTCCTCTCCTGGCTCCCCCAGATCCACAGGTGTGGGACTGTACCTCCAGGCCCCCCTGGGATAGAAACCCCCCCAACCCCGGTGGGTTGAGCGGTGACCTCATTTCCACTGCTAGTACCCCTAAGTTTTAAAAAAGACACTCACACCATCAAACTGACAGAGGCTGAAAAGGGGTGCGGCCGTAATCCTTTTCGGGGTACATCATCAGGTCATAGGAAGGCGACCTTCATGTGTGACCTTCTGACAGGAAGACAGCGTTTCGGACCCCATCGTACTCTCCGACGGCTTCGGGAGAACGTCCTCTTGCGCAACACCGAGAACTTTTTGGACCAAAGCGCCAGTGAGCACGTGCAGCATTAGAGAATACTAAATCCCACGTTCACAATCAGGTCGGCCCACGCGCGAGATGAGATGACTGCAGCTTTTAATCCTGGATGGCCTTGTTCCAGATTTTTCAGACTGTTCCATTTTATTTCGCCCACTGCCCGTCGTCCTCAATCTAAAAGATTTATTGTCCTATAATCAAGCGGCAACATGGTGGAAATAACACCGATTTCTGCAAACACACCCCTGTTTTGCTGGAGCCTGACAGCTCCTGCTTATAGCACCTGCAGACACATACGGTTTGAGGTCAGGCTTAACAAATCCCTAATGCAATAACAGTCCCAGGAGCCTGGGTGCACTGACAGAGCAGAGGAGGGATCAGCCACTACCTATAACGCAGAGAGAGAAGGCAATGTCCAGAAATATCCTCCATTATAAAGAAAGCCGATACGGCGATAAGACCTGACAGGTTCGGGCTTGCAGCACGCACAGCTGTTCCCAGAACTCCCCAAGTTTCATGCCCCGAATTCTTTAATTTTTATATTTCAGAACAGAAACGTTAACAGGAAACTTCCTCTTCGCCCCCGCTGTGTCTATCTGGTGTGAGAAGATTCAGAGCGTCTCCCAGTTTTACAAGACAAGGGAACTAGCGCACAAATCTGGAATCTGTCACCGCCTGTCAAGAGTGTACCTTTGTGTCCCACAATTCATTCAGGCTGGGGAGAAGGGTGAAAGAATAGTAATCAGGGGGATTCTCTCTTCCCATAGTAACTAGCATGTTAAATTTGTCCCACCCCCTTTACACCCACCCCAAGACGTGGTCCCGACTTTTGGGGCATTATTTCCATTAAACTCCAAAGTCCCATCAGACATCAAGAGACTACAATATCCCCCTACACCTCCATATAGGGTGACGGGTATAGAGCTCTGACATCTGATCTGTAAGGCATCATCGTCTCTCAGCAGCCTCCTGCTCCATGCCTGCAGGCTGTGAGGAGATGAGGTCACCCTCACCTGGTCGCTGGCCTCAAGGGGGACTCCATGTTCACAAAGCAGACTGACCGAGGAGACACACCCCGAAATTGCTGGGAAAAACAACACGCCAGTCAGAGCAGAGAAACTGTGGCAAGCCTGCACACACACACACACACATACACAATTGCAACGCAGTTACCAGCTGCTCCTGCATGAACCTGCCTATTTCCTCTTTTGGGGTTTTACATTTTCCAATATGTGTTTTACTTTTCAGGCTCCTAAAACCTGGGAGTAGTCAGTGATGGGTGATATCGTTGACCTACATGAGTGTTTATTCCTGCTCATGTGAGACTTGTGTCTGTACACTCAATCACATTATAAATGCTAAGAATTTATGACTGCCTGTAATAGACACACTGTAAAAGACATTGGTAGTAATAAATTCTTCACATTCCAAATCACACTGTGAAAACACATTATAGCTGTATTGACTGTATAAGAAACAACATAGGAACACACTGACCACACAGAGACACAAGCAAGACATACACCAAACGCACAGACACACACACATGTGCACAGAATGCACACTGAACACAGAGACACGAGCACAGACACACACTGAACACACAGAGACACGAGCACAGATACACACTGAACACACGGATACACGAGCGCAGACATACACTGAACACACAGAGACACGAGCACAGACACACACTGAACGCACGGAGACACGAGCGCAGACACACACTGAACACACAGAGACACGAGCACAG